AATCCCAAAGGAAAGGGATTCATCCGTTATCAGTCAGTTTAGGAGCATTTCACTCTTAAACGTGGAAGGAAAGCTTTTCTTCTCAGTGATTGCCAAGCTGACCAAGTTCCTCCTCTGTAACAATTACATTGATACAAGTTGTCAGAAGGCAGGTGTCCCAGGTTTCTCAGGGTGTTCAGAGCATGCAACATTAATCTGGGACCAGATCCAGTCCACAAAAAAGGACAAGAAGGATCTTCATGTTGTCTGGCTGGATTTGGAGAACGCCTACGGCTCTGTCCCACATCAGTTGATTGATTTTGCCCTGGACTTCTTCTATGTGCCTACAGGTGTTATAAACATCATTCAAAGCTATTTTGCAAATTTGAAGATCTGCCATTCATTATGTGACTACACAACCAGCTGGCAGAAACTTGGCAGGGGAATAACTATGGGGTGTTCAATATCCCCCATTCTATTCATGGCAGCCTTTGAGGTAATTTTGACCGGAGCAAGGTCCATGGCGAGGGGAGCACGAAATAGTGCAGGACTTCGGTTGCCTCCCCTTCGATGCTTCATGGACGACATCACAATCCTGCTCCAGACAGCGGCTTGCACAGCGCGGCTCATCAAGAGGCTGGAGGAGCTGCTGAGCTGGACTGGAATGAGAATCAAGACGGCCAAGTCTCGTAGTCTCTCAATCTGCAAGGGCAGACGAGTGAATACAATTTCTTTCCAAGTGGCAGGGGAGAGAATCCCAGTGCTCTCCGAGCAACCAATAAGAAGTTTGGGCAGAGAGTACTCAGCTGAGCTCACAGACAAACATATGGCAACTACAGTAATAACTCAGCTGAAAGATGGCCTTAAGAGAATTGACCAGAGCTACCTTCCTGGCAAATACAAACTTTGGTGCTATCAGTTTACTCTTTACCAACGTGTGATGTGGCCGCTGAAGATGTGTGAAATAATAGCAACAACAGTGGCAAAACTGGATGCTATTTCCAATAGCTACTGTATATCCGTAAGTGGCTTGGTCTGCCGCGATGCTTTTCAGATTCAGCACTGTTCGGAAGAAATGCTCTTCAGCTTCCAATAAAGAGCATCTCACTTGGGTACAGGCTAGAGAAGACCAGGCTTGTACTCGAGCTTAGACAATCAAGTGAATATTTTGTCCGAAACGCTGGTGCCAATGTTCAGACTGGTAGGAAGTGAAAGGCAGAGGAAGGTGTCGACAACGCCATTGCCAACCTGAAGCACCAAGAGGTGGTTGGAAAAACCCAGGAGGGAAGACAGGGTCTTGGCTGGGGTGAGCCATGTAAATTCTGGTCAAAGGCATCATCAAAGGAGCGAAAAAAATCTAGTGATCACAGAAGTGATGAGATTGGAAGATGAAAGACTTCTTGTGAAAGCTCTTGGTCAAGGCCAACAAGGCCAGTGGACCAAAGTGGGCTGACATCTTGCCAAGGTCAGTCAGCTGTAGCGAACTTTGGAGAATTCCCCAAGCCAGGTTAAGTTTCATTATTAGATCAACTTATGACACACTTCCCAGCCCAGTTAACCTGGCATGGTGGTTTGGGGCAGAAATCTGCAGCTTGTGCAATGCAGCTCAGGGAACCCTCCACCATATTTTGTGCGGGTGTAAAATTGCTTTGGCTCAGGGTCGCTACAGGTGGCGTCATGACCAGGTGCTACGGAAGCTGGCAGAATACACAGAAAGATAAAGGATGATGGCAGCCGGGAGGCATCAGAGCCTTAAGAGTCAGCCTGTCCAATTTGTAACAGCAGGTCAGGTAGTGCAGAAATGCCTTTCTAAGCACAGGACTTCAATCCTGGCTAGTGGAAGTGACTGGTCATTACGAGTAGACCTGGACAGACGGCTGCAATTCCCCGCTTCTATTGTGCAAACCAAACTGAGACCGGACCTTGTGGCATGGTCCGAAATGAGCAAACAGGTGATGCTAGCGGAGCTGACAGTGCCATGGGAGGATGCAGTTCACGAGGCATACGAGCGAAAAAAGTCATGGTATGCAGACTTGGTAGCAGAATGCCAGGGAAAGGGATGGAGAGCAACGACCCAGTGGAGATAGGCTGCTGTGGCTTTGTGGCCCAGTCAACCAGCCGCTTCCTGAGAGACATCGGTTTCAGCTCTGGCGAGGTGAGGAAGGCTGTAAAAGACCTTGCCGAAGAGGCAGAGAAAGGAAGCTTTTGGCTTTGGCTGAGGAGGAATGATAAGAGTTGGGGTGCGGAGAAGCCTCAAGGCATAGGAACCTGAGATCTAAATCCAGCCGCAGGGAGCGACAGGGAGACGTCCCTGTCTGCTGCCCCACCACCCTGAGATGTTCTGGGACTAAAGGGGTGAAACATCGGTGAAGGGTGGCTCCCAGCTGATGACGAAATAAAAACATTTAAAAAAAACATTTGTGTACTTTTCTTTTTTTCTTTTTTCTTTTTTGTAATAAAAGCATAGCATAGTCTATCTGCCAAAGATTCAAACATTTAAGACAATGAAGGAAGATAAGTTTCATAAATCCATTTGATAAATTCATTAAATAACTATAAATTATACTAAAGAAAAAAATACTAAAGAGTGCTTTGCTGCGGCTGGTTATTTGGCACTGGCAGAGGTGCATCAGGCAGCAATGCCCAGCAGGTCTTACCATCAACCTGTTGCTAACTATATATATATATATATATATATATAAATGTACTAAACTGACCTGAGTCAGTTACACATACACACACACACACACACACACACACACACATGGTACACACACGGATTTTGAAAATGAAAATGACCTTGTTTCTTACAGAAATCCTGCTGCTCTGTGATGTCTGCTGAACTCAGTCAGCGCTTCAGAGGTGGAGAGCCGACTACACCGGAATCCTCTGAGAAAAACAAAGCCTAAAAAGCAAAGCCCCAACAAAGCACTGACACATATGCATTTAATCACTTAATGTTCATTAAGGTCCACAAAACAGTTATTAGCTACTAACAAAACTGGGAGGGTGAAACTCATGAAAACATTTTATTTGTTGTGCATACTTCAAAACCATGGGGGATGGGGGGCCTGGTCCCGTACACCACTGATTGGGAGAAAATAAACAGTATTACCCAAAAGTTTGCTGAATGCCCTAAATTCTGACCAAACTGAGATATTCAACCTGCTCATTTCTAGATTACTAAGATCAGCACTTTTGCTGTTTTAATAGCAGAACAATGTGTGCCATGAGTAAAACTGTGATATTACTAAAATGATGCATGCAAAATTTCTCCCATGACTAACTATATATACACAGTACCTTGAGAAAAACCCAATTCCTCATTTTGGGTGTCATTGTTTTATTGTAGAGAATTTTCTCAACCGAAATAAAAAGCTAAAATATGCTGTTTGCATATTTAATACTTGTTTACAGTATTCATTTTTGTGTATTAATAATTGGCACCTTTAATCATTTTTTACCAGTCTTTTGGACTAAGTATTCTGCCTCTATTTGTCCTTAACAGATTTGCTCCATGTTTTTGGAGGGTTAGTGAGAGGACACTTCAAAACATGCCACAGATTCTCTATGAGATCAGATTTTGACCTGGCCATTGCTATTCACCTTGATATTCACCTGTTTTGTTTTTGAGCCACTCCAGTGTTTATTCAATGTTTGGGATCAACTTCTTTGCAAGCTTCAATTCTGTAGCCGAATTAAATAGGCTTTCTTGCAGTATTTCACTACATTTTGCATCATCCATTCTTCATTTCTAAAAAGAAAGTCCAGTTCCTAAAGAGGAACAGCATGCAGCTCCATAGCACGATGTTAGCACTGCAGTACTGCACAGCTTTATTGGCCTCTGAGCTGCAAGAATAAGATTTACGGCACACATAACGCTTTGAATTTGAAGTAAAATGTCCTATCTTGGTCTCATCCGACCACAAAATCTTTTCCCACACTGAACTAAATCACTGTTTTCTTGGCAAATTCACGTGGTTCTTTTTGAGTAATGGCATCTTTGTGCCAGCCTCTCATAGCAGTGTTGGTCGAGTGGGTCACCTATTGAATTCTGCAGCTCTTTCACATGAACGTTGGCCTCTCTGTGGCTTCTCCCACAAGACTCCTTGATCAAGCAGAGAGAGCAGAGAGATGGCGTTTTTAGGCCAACAGTGTCAAACAAAGACATTACAGCACTTAGATATTGTGCTGTACCAAATTTATGTATCAGTTTCATGTTAACCCTGACTCTTGGAAAGCTCTTTGGTCCTTATTTGCATGATTTGCATGCTTTTTTTTTTTTTTTTTTGCATGCTGGTTTAATTTCACAGAGACCAATTGTAAAACTGCTGTATGCTTGATAAGCGTTTTCATTACTGTACAACAGCTTCTGTAATGGTGGGGCTATACAGCAGAAATACAACATAATTTTCCCTTTTGGGTAAGAGTAATTTCTAGATAAATTATTACAATTATTTTAATAAGACAATTATATCATTGAAATATTTTGAGAATTGCTGTAATAACCCTATTAGAATATCAATGTGAGATTTATTTTGATATTTAAAAAAGTAAAATAAGGTTTGTTTAAATTATTATTTTCAAACAGACTGGATTAATTATTTCATCATTTTAAAAATTCTATAAAGGTTGGTAACAACAATAAGCTAAAAAGCAGCTGAAGGACATTAATTTAAACAACAGCAACAGCAACAACATATTACTCTTTATCTATTTGATCTTAATATCAACTTTATTCACACAGGATTTTGTGAGGAACTTGGCGAGAAACGGTATTTAAGAGGACTTTTACATCTATTACGTTTTATGTAGGCCTATTGTTTGGGTTTATATTGTATATTAATATTCTAAATATTTAAATTATATACATTTAACATAAAAGTGATATATGGTAATTTTCTATAATTTTATTTACTATATATGTATGTTCAAAACAAAAATAAAGCGTTTATATTTTATAAGTTGTTTTTTATATATTTGGAGTGAATGCGACGACTAGACGGAAAGCGGAAGTAAGGGTTCGTCAGCGCTTCCGGTGTGGCTGATGATGTTCGGTTGGTTCTCCTCAGCACTCATGACTGTTGCTTTGTGCTGTTCTCATGCTTATGGACTGTGTTTTTACCAGCAAATACGTTTAGGAAATCAGCAGGTCACAGATGAGAGTTTTCTTTGAGGGTCTACTTGTAAGTACCCGCGTGCGACGGTGCGCGATCATGAATTGAAATGCTAATGTTCATAACAATGCGGTTTGCTGTGAGCGGCGGCCCGTCAGCACAGGCCGAGCAGACATGAGATCAGCTGATGATCTCCGACAATCATCCGCACATACTGATCATCATCTGTAATAATGTGGCGATGAGCGGAGGAAGGCGCTTCAGTGTTTGACAATATGAAGCTCAGCTGATTGAGCTGCAAAACGAAGATGTGCTAACATGATAATGTCACCTGGTGTTATTGTTATTATTAGTATGACTAGCATGATTCACTGCTGGATATACGTGAGATCTGTTATGTAGGACGCATGATTCATAAGCGATAATATAAACATAACTAAAGAGTGTAATGTTGTCATTGACTTTACTTCCCGTCGTCCAGGTTCAATAGCAGCACGGCTAACTGTTAGCACTGACAACACACACAAATAACCGGTGTTCATCAGCTGATTCTGCCTCCAGTCATCTACAACATAATCACATAAAGCTCGGTTTAAAACGCCTCGTTCCTCACTAAATATGCATTAGCCGGTAGTGAAGGCTGTTTAAAAAGCAAGAATGTGTGAGTGACTGTCGTCGCGAGGGCGTGCGGTATTTTAGGCGATCAAAGAAACGTTCCGAACTGCTGTTACTTTCGATAGGGATATGCCGGTATCAAATTTTCATGTTGCGATTAATTGCTAATGCTTTTATCACGGTATTATCACGATATTGAAATTTAGTTTAAAAAAAAAAGTGCTGTCATAATACAGTATAACAGGTTTAATAACTTTTTTCTTATAACAAAAATAACTGAACATTTAAATGCAATAAAGCAATACAGAAATATAAGGGTTTACTCTTAGTTTTTTCTGTAATTTAATTACAGTTACTTCTGATGTAATTACATTAAATACTGTATAGAACAATAGTGCTTAAAATGCATTCAAAATTCTGAATAATTTGTTATATATAATTATTCACGGTATTTAGAAGTGCCCACGATAACAATATCGTGCATATTCATTACCGTGATATATCGCATTACCGAATACCGGCACAAGTCTACTTTCGAATAGAAGTTCGGAAAACAGATGACGTCCAAATCGAATTTGCAGGGAAGGTACATGAAGCCCAAAGCAGATCAGACCTTGTGAAAGTAACTAACAGCAGCACTGTATTGAATAATGAATTTCAGCAGGGGATTTTTGACAGCTGAAACCCTCAAACATAGATTTTTTTTTTTTTTAAGTTGAAATACCCCCTGAGATTTTAGTCTAATGATCACATGACATGCGAGTAAACAGATAAAATAGCTTATCTTTTATTAGTTTTCTTACAAGTGTTATATTTGGATTTGCATATATATTTTTATTATATACACACACACACGCATATACATACATACATGCATATATATTGCAATTTGAAATGTGATATGACATTGATAGTGATATGATTTAATTCATTTGAAAATGCTTCATATTGGTACTACTTGTACATCCAAACACAAAGACTCTACTGTCAATGGAAATAGTTTCTTTTAAAGGTGCGGTCATATTTAAGTGAAATTACATTGATGAAAAGGTCCATTGCCAATAGCGTATCGATGTCTGAAGCATTGCTCACACGTAAGTTACTTTCTTGTTGAAATGACTAGATTTCACAGAGCCACTGTATACAGTACAAATATTGATGTCTTTAGTTCTTCATCAGCCTGACCAGTGCTCATAGCTGGATCACTGGGTTTATATTTGATAATATTGGGACCAGCTGTTGTTAAATTTTGTCTGTATTCTGTAATACAGATTAAGAGCTGCTAGCTGTACAAATCTGATCCTCATGTGTCTTTAGTATTGAGATGAGATGGCAATTCAACAATAAAAGCTCAGTGCATTATGTTTTCACTGAGCAACACTTTATTTCTAAATAAGAAGAGAGAGTTACAGTTGGAAACGTTGTGTGTTTTGTCTTCTACAAGCAGGTTTTTCCAATGTAGTTTTTCTAGTCAATTTCCACCCTCTCTCTTACTCTTACAGCTAAACAGTCTGTTTTAGCTTCTGTACCTTTTAGACTCTTCTGATTTGTATACATCTTTTATCTAGTCTATTAGCATGTGAAATGAGCAACGATACTAGCAGGTTGTGGGTCCAGTATAGTTTTTACTGATACATCCTTCACAACCTCTTTGTACAGATTACCACATGAAATGGTTGTTAAGGAAAGGAGATCCACATTTAGACAGCAGGTGGAATAATACTATCACTATCATCACCTTTTAGGACTAATAGCATCTGTCCTACTTCCTCTTCAGTGACATCATTCATGCCAACACCACACACTCTCACACAGAGCTGAGATTAAGGCCCCGTCCACACGGAGACACGTTTAGCTGTATTCGCATACATTTTGTATCGTATAGGCGTTTCGTCCAGACGGATCTGGCGTTTTGGGAGAGTGAAACCGATATTTTTTGAAACCGGGTCCCAGATTGCATAAATCTGAAAACGCCACCCTTGCGTTTTCGTGTGGACAGCGAATCCATATATTTTCTGAAACGATGAAGTCATCAGCCCACGTCTCGCCCATAGACTGTATAAAAACATGGACGTAGTGTCAGTGACGTCACCCGTAGGTTTCCGAAGAACGTTTTTGAAGCTCAAAGTAGGCGGAGCCGGCTGTCGCCATCTTGGCAGCGAGTCACTGCGCGTCACTCCCGGTTAATCGAAAATGGGCAAAACAGTGGGAGCTGGTTGCTGAAACCATGCCCACTTAGCTCGACGCCGGTGACAGCAGCGGCAATCCACCTGTCACTCAAGTGGCCACGCCCTTAATTATGCAACGTAACAGCAACGAAAACATTAACAAACACTGAACGATTGTATTTTTGTATTAACTAACATTAACACAGATTAATAAATGTATTGTTCCATGTTCCTTTGTATACCGCGCGCAAGGTTTATGTGCATAGTCCAAGTCTTCTCCGTTTTAGTGTATCTCTGGCAGAATTACAGCGCCACATGCTGGTCTGGCATGTATACTACAGCGTTTTGTGTCGGTTTCGTGGTTTCGTGTGGATGCAGATATTTCTTCAGACGAGGGGGAAAAAAAAGATTGGGTAGGGAAAGCTCTGGCTTCGTGTGGACGTAGCCTAAGAGCATTCCTCATGCCAATGCTTCATGTTAGTTCTGAAACCTCAGAGGCTCTCCTACTGGAAAGTACATTCTAACTAGGGTTGGGTATCGTTTGGGTTTTTTTCGATACCGGTGCCAAACCGATACTTTTAAAACGGTTCCGGTGCCTGAACCGATACTTATTAAAAAATAAATAAATAAAAATTCCCCCCAAAAATGATGGATTGGCCATTAGAATAGAAATAGAATAGAGAGTGCACATCTAGTACATACCGGTTACATACATTACATACTGGTGCCATATTGGTACCGGGTTTTGGTACCCAACCCTAATTCTGACCGAATCACACTCATTTCTGCAGTTTATTGTAAAAGTAGTAACTGTTTCTATGTAAGCTGCATTTTGTAATCAGATTCCAAAACTCGGGAGCTTGTAATTAGATATGCTGATATAGATTAGATATAGGTCAATCAGATTAGTTTCTTTACAATAAAAAATTATTACATGATTACATGTCATTCATACTGTGGCAGTAAATTGTGCCTTAATGAAAAAATGCCTACTGCTTTCATGGGTTTCTTGTTTTAAATTATTATTATTTTATTTTTTTTTGTCTGTCTTTTAAACAGATGCAATTACATTATGCGAAATGTAATATTTACATGTAATGCAGGGATTCCCAAACTTTTTTTGTCAGCAGAATCTCTTTGAATTAATATATTTATTTGAAGTACTCCCTAAGCTTGTAAATTAATGTTAATAATTAAGGCAATAATTCAGCAACAGATTTGCATATGTACAGTTCTGTGATGTCAGCTAATAATCTGATCTTTTTATGTTTATGTTGAAGTATTTTGTTTTGATTGTTTTATTTTAAAATTATTAAAAGGGTCATATGATGCTGCTAAAAAGAACATTATTTATTTTATATATATATTTTTTATTAATTAATTAGTATACCTACAAACTCTGGGAAACCCTGATGTAATGTAATGTTTAATGCACTTTGTATGTTTATATTAATATAGTACAAGATTGTCCTATTCAAATCAATGTGATAAATGAGTCAAAAGTAAACTAAAATTAATTTTAAAAAATAGTCTAATTTTATTACTTAAAATGTAAAATGTAATAGATTATGTTAATAATTACAATTTTTGTCATGTAATTTGAAATCAGTAACAAACTACAATTTGTAAGTAATCTACCCAATTTGCATATTAGGCCCATTATTGTATTTTATTTTATTTATTTTTTGAAAATCAATATTGCTTATATTAAGGCTGTGAGTTTTAAATTATGACATGCGATTAACCCCAAAAAATAGCTTATCAGATTTTTCCTGAGAAAAGCCCCCAACGAAGATAATTGAAAGACATTACATTATTGTAACAGACAAGTAAATCATGGCATAAATGCATGTTTTGACAATTTTCTTCCCTTTCCTACAGGTTGCCAAATCTTGTTGAGGGTTCTGTGCTGGTTAATGCATAGAGGAAAAAGGGTGAAGCTTGAAGACGAAACTGAAGGTAGTTGGAAAAGGTATAGGAATGTTTTCCTGACTTTATCCCATTTGTTATAGATCAGACGGCTCTCAAATGTTAGGCTGATGAATCGCTCCTGTGTTCAGTTTTGCAGCTGTCAGAATGACCGCAGTAGATGACATCTCAGACAGCACGGAGGTTGTGGAAATGGACGACGTCCCTTCTCAGTTTTTCGTGGAGAAGCACTCATGGGATGGCTTGCGTGACATCATTCACGGCAGCCGGAAGTACTCGGGAATGATCATTAACAAGGCGCCCCATGACTTCCAGTTCGTTCAGAAGCATGACGAGTCCGGCCCTCACTCGCACCGGCTCTACTACCTTGGTACCCTTTTCCCTTCTGTGTCAACACAGTCAACCGTTTTCATGAGCATGCAGCTTCTTGAATCAACAAATGCACCAGTTCCTCATTTCATTTTTAAAATAGTCGTGCTTTTAAGCCTGTGTGCTTTTTAAATGGTAATGTTCTATGACACAAAAGAGTCTTCATCATAAAGAAAATGAAAAATATTTTTAAAAAATACATGGCAAGTGTTTAGAAATGAATTTTTAATTAATATATACATTTTTAGAGTGTCACACCAAGGTATTTATATATATATATATATATATCAAAACATCAAAACAGTCAATCCAACACAGTCAAGAATAACTTAAAGAGGTTGCCACCGTTTAGTAAACTGTGGACTAGCTTTGGCTCTTCCTGTTGACTTGAATGGTGATGCTTCCTGTTTGTCAGTTGACGGCCTTTCATTTTTAACCAGAAATGTGCACGCTGCTTTTCTGATGTTCACTGAAGTTTTCCGTGTCTTTTTCCCGTGTCACTTGAAATTTTTCCGTTTTGAATAGTTGTTACAAAAGGCGAGACACAAAAATGAACGATCAGTTGTGGGACTATATTCTGTCATAAATCGCATACCATTAATTAATTGCTGAACTCTCTACCGTCCGTTACTGGAAATTAAATTAAATACCAAATTAAATTAAATTAAAATGCAACAGGTTTCTGTAATTTTCCTAATGTTTCATCTTGTCATACTTAAATAGGAATGCCATATGGGAGCAGAGAAAACTCATTATTGTACTCTGAAATCCCAAAGAAAATACGGAAAGAAGCCCTCCTGGTGTTATCATGGAAACAGATGTTAGATCACTTCCAGGTATCTTTCCTTCATGTTTGTTGTTATGCTAACAGCAGCTAAACCACATATATGCGAGATTTATAACATATTAATAACATTATTATGTTAATTTGTGTTCATCTTATAGGCGACTCCGCATCATGGTGTATATTCCCGTGAGGAGGAGCTTCTCCGTGAGAGGAAGCGTCTGGGGGTCTTTGGCATCACGTCCTACGACTATCACACACAAAGCGGCCTTTTCCTCTTCCAAGCAAGCAACAGCCTTTTCTATTGCCGTGATGGCGGCCATAACGGCTTCATTGTGAGTCTAGCTGTTTTTTTCTGCTGTGCTCAGTTTAACATTTCTGGGAAATTTCTTCATAGCGTGTGTGCAAAGCTTTGTGTCCCCATGCCTGAAAGTCATGTGATGTTTAGCAGGGTGCCCCAATGAAGCCAGTGGAAATTAAGACTCAGTGCTCAGGGATTCGCATGGACCCCAAGATCTCGCCTGGTGATCCCAGTTTCATTGCCTTCATAAATAACAACGACCTGTGGGTGACGAATATCGAAACTGGAGAGGAGCGACGACTTACTTTCTGTCATAAAGGTTTGTTGATCTGTTAGTATACAGAAGCAGTTATAGTGTTGACTATTAAGGGTGTATTCTGGGTTATTTTTACCTTAAAGGGATAGTTCACCCAAAAATGAAAATTTGCTGTATTTACTCACCCTCAGGCCATTCAAGATGTAGGTGATGTTTTTTCTTCAGTAGGACAGTAAAGAAGATTTTTAGCTGAAACTGTGGTCCTTGGTGATTCATAAAATGCAAGTCAATGGCTACCGGCACTTCGAGAGTCAAAAAAGCACATACAGTCAACACAAAATGAATACCTATGACTCCTGACGATATATTGAGGTAGTGCTGGGCGGTATGACCAAAAATTTATATCACGGTATTTTTCCACTGATCGGATCCTTTTTCGGATGAGCAAGAAAAGAAAAATATTTCAATTTAACTTGCTTTCCATTTATTACTTAAAGCGAAAGAAACTGAACATTATTTACAACATTATTACTTGTAATCTAGAGCCCCAGGGAAACGGTCCTGATCATAATCACTCAAGTCCGAAGCACATTTTTTCTTATGCTTCCTGTTGAGATTGCGCATGTGAACCTAATGTTACTTTTTATATCGCTTGAGGCATTCCGATGAACAGTACAACACAGGTATCCTCTCTGTTGTAAACAAACACTGCGTCAGTTCACGTTTGCTCCTGTGCATATGTCATTATGCGACAGGATGCGTTCATTTCAGATTTGCGTGAACACGCTCAGGACCGTTTGCTAGAGGCTGTGGATGTTGTAAATAATGTTCAGTTTCTTGCACAGACCAATCGTTTCGCTTCATATTCATTTTGTGTTGCCTGTATGTGTTTTTTTGATTCTCAAAGTGACGGTAGCCGTCGACTTGCATTTTATGAATCACCAAGGTTTCAACTAAAAATCTTCTTTCCACTGAAGGAAAAAGTCACCCATGTCTCGGATAGGGCTGGGTATCGAGTTTGATACTTTTTAGGCACCGACCGAATTACCTCGAGACCATCGAGTATCGAAAAACGTCTCGTCGTTCAGTACCAAATTTCGATACCTAAGGGGTTAATCTCATCAGCGTCAGTGAGCCAATAAGCCTGCAGCACTAGCCGGTGTGTTCGACTAGAAGAGGTGCGGCGCAGATCGATCAGTGTTTGACATCCACGAGAGCGATTCGACAGCGCACGGAGGAGTCTGCTCTCTTAGCTCTCGTGGTACTGTAATACACCGATCGGTCTGCACAGTCAGTCCGCGTCAAGTCGAACACACCTACTAGTGCGAATGCGTCCCAGCCCCCTTAGATGTTAGGCTACATTTACACTGGTGCGTTTATGTTTTAAAATGAAAACGATCCTCGTCATACTGGCGTTTCCACTGCGTTTCAAGCCGATACACTGGGTGAGGGAACATTTAGGTTGGGTTATTGTAATTTAAATTTTTTTTTTTTTAAATAATAAAAATAAATAAAATCCCCTCAAATAAAAAAAAAATCCCCTCATAAGAGCCACTTAAAGGTCGAATTCCCCCCCATTTTCCAAAACGAAACTCAGGCCCTGTGTCTTTGGAACTGAGGGATGAATCAAAATGATAGTCTGAAAATCGACAGTGTGCAATAAGCTGAAAATAACTGGAAGTATTCCTGGAAGCTTTGTGTTGTATGAACATTAATCATCCCTTTATGATTAATGGCTGTAACTTACAGTCAAAGTCTTTTTAAATGGTTTGGAGAGGGGCTGTACTTTTGCCAAGGAAAGCTGCATTATCACTATTTAGGATTTTTCAGAATAAAAAGTAGTGAAATTTGGTGTGTAACTAGTCTCATGGAAGTAGTTTTTTTTTTTTTTATGATTAAGAATGCTTCTCTGAGCATTGATCCATATAGAAAGCACATCAGGTTACATTGAATGGACTGTTCTGAAATCTGATATTTCTGCTACCCTTGTCCAGGATTGAATAACGTCAAGGAAGACCCGAAGTCTGCTGGTGTCGCAACCTTTGTGATCCAGGAGGAGTTTGACCGCTTCACAGGATACTGGTGGTCTCCAGCTGCTCCTGAAGGTTTGTGGGACACCTAAAGCAGTAGTTGTAAGTCTTCTTGGATTGAAGGCCCCCCACTGGGATTTTTTTGTACATTTGCCCTTTTACACTCAAAATGCCTCCGCCACCTGCTGCGTACCCTTATCATCCTGTTCTTGTTTGCTTGCAGACGCAGATGGAGGCAGAACGCTCCAGCTGCTGTATGAGGAGGTTGACGAGTCAGAAGTAGAGATTATTCATGTGTCCTCACCAGCTTTGGAGGAGCGGAAGGCAGATGTGTACAGATATCCTCGCACCGGTAATCACAAACACACACTGTTAAAACAACACAAACATGTGTATATATGCAAATGAATCACCACACTGAAATGCAGATAGTGTTTCTGTGCTGTTTTAGCACAGTTGTAAGCTTGCCGTCTGAACTGGATGTGATGAGACTGGCTTGTGTGAAAGACAGTAGTTCTAGACAGCCCGTCTTTATATTGCACTGGCCTCGCCGGTTGAACAAAACGACATACAGTGGAACCAGTGTAGTCTGTTTTGTGAACAAATGACTCCCAGATTAACAGATTAACAGAATCGATCAAAGAGGCTGCTGATTTAATGGGCTGCAAGTCATAATGTCCATCTCCCCTCAACTTCCTCAGTAGTACTTGGTTATTACCAGAATCATTAAGTGTAACTGAAGCCAGAAATTATGGCATAAACACAATTCATAAATGTATTCTTAAGAGTACAGCTCTTTGATTCTTTGTATTGTTTTGTATATTAGCAATATTTTGTCAATGGAGTTGTGTTAATTGTAATGCTAATGAATCCTTCTCGGTGCTTGTAGGAAGTAAGAACCCTCAAATTAGCCTGAAACTAGCAGAGATTCAGACCGACCAACATGGCAAGGTAGGTGCCTGTGCCCAGGCTCACTTTTTCTTTCTCTATGCCTGGTAGAAAGGCTTTATAATGTTCTCTTATTCTTTTTGTAGATTATTAGCGCACAAAACAAAGAGCTTGTTCTCCCGTTTACCACGCTCTTTCCTGGGGTTGAGTACATCGCAAGAGCTGGATGGACAAGAGACGGCAAATTGTAAGTAACAAGAAGTAATTTTTTAAAAGTAGGGCTGGGCGATATGGCCAAAAAAATGAGCATGATAAAATTTTTCGTATCAGTCGATTTCGATAATTGTCACGATAAATGTCAAATATTTATTTCCTTCAAGTTTAAAGGCAGATTTTTGCTCCTAAGTGAAAGTTGTAGAAAGCAGACCATTAACTGTGGTTTTAAACGAACATGACAAACACTTTAAGCTTTTGAAATCTTTCCAGTCGTTTTTCCTTAACAAAACAAATACCTTAATAAAAAAATTAATTTCTTAGAATCTGCATGTTCTAATGAGTGATATTGTTTCAAATCATGAAACAGGTTTGTGTTGCCTGACTTTGATGGGTATCTTCAGCACAGTTTGCAGTGCAGCCTGCAATATTAATAATATTCGTCAAAGACGAAAACGGGTTTAAGCATAAAAACAATAAGTGTAATACTGCTTTAAATTGTTGTTGTTTTTCCCCCCCAAAATTAAAAATGTTTCTGTTTAATTTAATAGCAATTTTGTTTTAGTTTTTCTGAGCAAAAAATAAATACCGTAAATTTTTCCCTGATTTACAGAAGAGACCCACTAAAATGTCATTCAGTGTAACAATCTTATAGGTAGGCATATTTACAACAAAAATAAATGTATGACATTAAAAGAATAATTACTTTCACCCCAAATACTAATTACTTGTAATTTTACATTTTTACAATTTGCCACTATCCTCGGTTTTGCCCATTTGTCAGCAGTGTTGGGCAGTAACGCATTACTTAGTAACACGTTACTGTAATTTGATTACTTTTTTAGTAACGGAGCAGCAGCCGCTGGCTTTAGTTAAAAACAGCAGTGTTCTGTGAATGTTAATGCTTTAATAGCAAATATTTATCGGGGAAGCGTGTATGCTGGGATTTCATGAATTTCATGGAGAAAAAAGTAACATAACTAGTAATGTAACTAATTACTAATTACTTTTGAAATAAAGTAATCAGAACAGTAACGTGATTACTTTTAAAAGGAGTAATCAGTAATTTGATTACATTTTCAGAGTAACTTGCCCAACACTGTTTGTCAGTAAGAATTTTTTACTCCGTTAAAACACAATAAAATTTAATATGCTCCCTTATTCTTTTATATATTTTAATATGTACAGGTCAGAATAAGCATGTTGTTTGAATTTTTACATAAATATTGTGTTACACTGAATGACAATGTAACATTATTTCAACCAAATTTTGACATTTTATTCTCCAAAAACTTATTTGAAACCTTTAAAAGTAGACACTTATATTTAATGTGCTTTCTATGGACATAAAATCACTTTTGTAAATTTCTTTTGATGCGGACATCTTAACGTCTTTGACCCTATTACATTATTTATTTTAGAAATGCACATTTGACAGCAGCTTGAGATGCAGATGTAAATTTATGTTCATTATCAAAAACAGTCTCTTTTGTATATGGTGAAATTTAATTATATTTGTTTTACTCAATTTAACCATTGTTCTTCCATAGTAGCATGCATTTAGATCATGAGATCACAGTTAAAACCACACATAGCACCTCAATACCATGGTAAAAATTTAACCATATGGTTTCTAGGTATGTGTATGAATAGCAGTAGTCTAAATGCATTTAGTATAAATTCACAAATGCTATAGCTTAATCACAAAAAATACTGTAATTATATTCCATTACTCCTTTAATACATTTAATACATGTCTACATTAATAATATAATAAAATTTGATATGAATATCCCACATTTCTGCCACAATATTAGTGGTAAATGATGGCGATTTGTAGATTTAAAGTCTTCTGACTTTATCGTTGCTCACAGTGTTTCTCATGTTTGTCAGCGCTATTTCACCCGGCTTTAAACTAGCTTAAAGGGGTTATATGATGTTGCTAAAAAGAACATTATTTTGTGTATTTGGTGTAATGAAATGCGTTTATGCGGTTTAAGGTTAAAAAAACACATTATTTTCCACATACTGTACATTATTGTTTCTCGTCTATGCCCCGCTTTTCTGAAACGCGTCGATTTTTACAAAGCTCATCAGTCTGAAAAGCGAGGTGTGCT